ACCTTGTCCTGCTGAACTTGTATGGGTGGAATGGCCTACCAGTTGTCATATAAATAAATATATATCTATCTATCTATCTATCCATCTATCTATCTATCTATCTATCCGATAAGTATGCAAATGCATCAAGTGCTTTCCATCCCTTTCAAGCATGTAGATGACTTCTTTTGTTAAATTTTTGGAAGCTTGCCTTGAAGCTTTTCAATTCCTTCTCCCCGAATAGACTATTGTCAACCGCTTTCGTGAAAACTTCCTCAATCCCATCATTTTTCTGCCAGAGCCCTGTGATGTTGGAGCATATACCATCAATCTTCATGCAACCGATGTCCTTCACGCAATCATCTTCCTGAAAGTTGCAATTGGACCTATGATATGTTCACAGGCAAGTTTTTTTTTGCAAACATGCTCGGATGTGGTCGGTTTCATCGTCCGCTTCGACTCAACAGAACAACCGTGGCCAGTTCGTTCGACTCATCGCGGTCATCGGTTGGAAGTTGGGGCGAGGAGTCGGCCCTGTGGGGCCGGAGAGGCTTGCCTCACAGGTAGCCTCACAGGGCCACCCGCTATTTGTTGAACCTGGCCAGAAGGACGAAGGACGGTCCTTCAACCATGACCAAAGGTTTGCATTGCGTCCCAGTTGAGTGGGCACGTGGTTGACGAAGGTGGTCAGTTGCGAAGCTGATCCACATGTATATACTGTAGACATATACATACGGGTTTTGATGGGCCTATCTCATGTGTCCAAACATACTCGAAATTAGAACGGCTGCAAACCTATCTCGTGTGTCCTGGCACTGCCAGAATGCTGTGAGACTTTCAAATTTGGGAACTGTGCCACAGTCGGGACAATATGAGATGGGATGCGCAATGAGTGACAGTTGGCAAAAGACATGTAAGTCGAATTAAACGAGCTAAGCTAAACATGCCTTGCTTGCCAAGAAAGGGCCAAAATAAACGTCCACACGTCAACTGTCCATTCCTTCTTTTGCACATTGCTTGGCCCTGACGCCTGCACTCTCCTTTGTCTAAGAGCCATATGATCCAGAATCATTGATCTGGACACCAGTGGTACCAGGTCAGCGTTTTTGGCGTGGAAGTAGAATTGCTAATAGCGCGGCGGGTGATTTCTTCTTGTTCCAGTTTCTTCTTGGTACTTAATGTTGGAACTGTTTCACGTTTCGCATAGTAAGGCAGTTCGAAGCCTTAGCTGCCAATAGAATGATGCATGACTGGCAAGCATCGCGTGGAAGGATGGGCGGACGGGGCGCTATAGGTGATGTTCGTTGTGGAATTTGCCCGGGGAGGGACAGAGGCGGAGGGGTGTGGTTGTCATCACCATGACAGTGATTTTGTTCCGTGAATTATATATTGAATAAATAAATAAAAATATATATATATATTTACTATATATTCTACATCCCGCAACTTTGTCAAGCCATGTGGTATGAATGTGTTTCATGTCCTTCATGGATGTCTAAATCTAGGTGGGTGAACGTTCAAGTGATAGAGAAATATGCCCGTGTCAATGCATGACTAATCCCAACATGTGACCTTCTTTGTGTGTCACACTCTCCAAACAGATCGGAGTCTGACAGTTCCCCAAGGTCGAAAAAGGAGAAGAAGAAGAAGCGCCGAAGCAGAACCCCGTGAGAGAAAACACCGAAGCTGAATGGGGTGGTTGGCGTCCTCACTATGAAGAGAGCGAATGGGTATATTTATAAGTAGTAGTTTTGGGGCATTGTTTTGGGAGGGGAGGGGTGGCTGGACACTTGGAACTTGATATTGAGGAGATCTTCAACCTAGCCCATCATGTGAAGTTCCAGAAATTGATTGATAGAGCACATGTATGCCTGGGACACAATGTTCCCGTTGGAGAGCCAGGCTGCTCCACTGATCAAATCAGCATAGTTCACATGGTTCGCAGGAAAATACATCCAATCATGTTCCAAGCCGGCCCTACGCGCCTGCGCGAACGAACACCCAACTTCATCCAAGTACATACCCCTGTTAGCCGCAGCGAGGTGCAGGCACTAGCAGAAGCACGGAAACGATGCAAATTGTCCTGCATACGAATCACTTGGTTCACACAGTGCAATGACCGTGTGCATGGCCACTCTTGAGAAGCTCCAGGGATTTAGGAGTTGGTGAACGCCATCCAGGTCAGCGAAATCTCCGACCTTCACATCCCGACCGCTTCATGTCAGATTATCACCATTTTGCATACATGTAGGAAGGTTTAGCTTTGTTCCCCCCCATGGGTGGGCTTCAGAGTCATGGGACCCAAGATCTAGTGGCAAAAGTGGACCTGTTATGGACCACCTTTTTGTTTTGACACGTGTTTTTGCCTGTACACGGTAATCAATACACATATTTCTGGCTTTTGATTTTGGATCAAGCCAATTGGAAGCTACGAATTTCAACCAGAAGCAGTGCCTATCAATAGATAAGTCATGCGTTGAACCAACTGTATCCAATTTTTTGCATGGGGCATGTGTTTTCTTCTCTCTTTGTTGGGTAGTGAGGGCCAGCAGCGAAGATGGTGCGAATCAGTGTGCTGCGCGATTGCCTCAACAACATTGT